CTTCTAATGCTTCTCACGGAGCTGCCGATTTGTTTCCCTTGCATTCTTGAAGTGCATTCTCCTCTGCGTCTGATTTTAAGAAAAGTCCTCCCATGGCGCAGGGGCTCACCTGGGTGAGCGCCCTGTCTTGGGCTCTGTAAACCAATAAGACTTGGGGGGAGGGGCAGATGGTACAAACAGCATCCCAGGAACAAGACACAAGCGGATCCTTGGAAACCAGGGGGAGATTAAGCTGATGCAAGAGGCCTGGCCCAAAGCCCAGAAGGCCAGACAACAGCGACGGACAGAGGCTTTCTCCTCCTTCAATGGCAGACAGTCCCATCCCCCATCCCCGCTTCCATTCTGGCCCCCTCGGACCCCCTCTGCGGCCCCAGCTGCTGGCAAAGCCCACAGGTACCTGCAGACCATTCTCAGCCTCCCGGGCCGGCCCGCACCGTCTCTACAGTAGGTGTCTGGGGTTGGGGGGTGGGAGGGTGGGGGGGGGTGGAGGGCGGGTGGGTGCTTGTCTTTGCAGCTGTGTGGGCAGGGGACAGGCCTGGACAGAGGCAGTGGGACAGAGCACCCCCCGCCCACCCCCCAAGGCCTTCTGGGGGTTCTGAGGGCTGGGGCAACCTTAAGTATGTGTGCAGTGGATCGTAAATGTTACCTGGGTCTGGGCCCAGCGGCCCTCAACTCCCAGCTGACATGACACGAGCCAAAGGGGGCTGGAATCCTCCTCTCCCACCGTTACGAAGATCTGCTGGCTGCCACGGGTTTGGACTTGGCCCCCGTACTGGGCCCAGCAGACCAAACCCCATATGGAGTCACTCATGCTAACAGACGAGTTAACGTGGGTGTGTACTCCCGTCACAGAGGGCTGACTTTCAGACAGCTGTGATAGCAGAGGTCTGTCCACCGTGGCAGCCACCTGACTCACATAAAGCTGTCACCAACTAGGCTCCACACCTCACTTCCGTTTTCTATCCAGGGATGCTGCCTGACCACACTGCTGGCTCTTGGAAACTCTTTTGGCCCCGAGGGCTGCCCGATTCTAGAATCATGAGTAAAAGCCAATCAAAATCTTTAATGTGCTGTAATTTTGTCTTTTTTTTTTTTTTTGAGTTGGCGTCTCACTCTGTCGCCCAGGCTGGAGTGCAGTGGCCGCTTCCGGCCACCGCAGCCTCGACCTGCTGGGCTCCGGTGATGCTTCCACCTCAGCCTTCCAAGTAGCTGGAACTATACAGGTTGCACTACCACACCCAGCTAATTTTTTGATTTTTATTGTAGAGATGGGGGTCTCGCCAAGTTGCCCAGGCAGGTCTCGAACCCGCGGGCTCAGGCAATCCACTCACCTCAGCCTCCCAAAGCACGGGATTACAGGTGGAGCCACCATAAACTCAGAAATTTCTAAGGAAGATTTCAGAAATCAGATTTGCCTGAGGATTGAGTTAGCCTGTATCTGTGTGCCAGCCATTTGTGAGTTGGTAGAATTCAGGCTGGGATGATACGAGAGAGATTAAAGGGATGCTCTGACTCGAAGCACAATTAAATCCTGAGTTACTTACATGTCCTGAAAGTGGCAGAAATTCTCTTCTACCTGGGTAATTTTGTGTGTGTGTTCTAGGCTGCACAAAAGGTGGAAATCACTGGACCATCTCACCTAGGTAAGGCCTTTGCAACCTAGACCCTTGAGATCTTGCTATTATCTGATGCACTTTGTGTTTGTTTTTAAAGGTCTGCATCTCATGTGGTAGCCAGCAGTTATACAAAGCACAGCGAATAGGTCTCATCCTGCACCAAGTCCTAAGAGTGGGTAGTAACTGCCTGGGTGCTGTGTTGACAAACATTCCTAGGCGGCATCTGGGCACTACAGGAAAGGGTGCTGGGATGAGGCGGGCTCGGTGGCTCAAGCCTGTCATCCCAGCACTTTGGCAGGCTGAGGCAAGAGATTGCCTGAGCCCAGAGGTTCGAGACCCACCTGGGCAACTTGGCGAGACCTCATCTCTACAATAAAAAATTAGCTGGGCGTGGTGGCGTGTGCCGGTAGTTCCGGGTCCTCGGAAGGCTGAGGCGGAAGGCTCGCCGGAGCCCAGCAGGTCGAGGCTGCAGTGGCCGTGAGCGTGCCACGACACTCCAGCCTGGGCGGCAAGAGTGAGACTCCAACTCACAAAAAAAAAAGTGCTGGGATGCGTCGGCAATGGCTGCCGTAGACAGAGAGTGAGGATGGTGACTCTCGGGCCATGTGATACAGGGGTGGGGATGGCGGCTCTAGGGCCATGTGTGTGACTTCCTTGAGTTAGCTGGAGACTCTATGCCCAGGACTCCCTATGATTCTGGAACAGTGACCATTCACCGGGTTAGGAAGGGGTGTACACTCTCAATGGTTCCCCAAGGAACCGGTCGGGGAGCTCCCGAACTAAGTGTGCTACTGACGATGTCTCTCCTGCGGTGACCCACGTCCGCCGCTCAGGTAGGACTTGGTTCTAGATGCTGTCCCATCTTCCCTGTGGCCCTCTGGGGTCCCTTCTCCCCAGGCCTAGGGGCGAGGGGTCCAGACGGAAGCCCCGAGCACGTCTGTCCCCTCCCGTCACTCCCACCTCACACAAGACGAGCATGTGCCCTACGCTGGTTCACCTGCACAAGGTCCAGCCCTGCTTGTCTCTCCTTCCCCGTCTCCTGTCCCTCTGCTCCTTGACCCTTATGTCACAGTCCAGCTGACTGGCTTGCCCCTCCTGGCCTCCCTCGGGCTTCTTCAGCCAGGGGTGCCTTCTCCCTCCACAGCACCCGCCCCGGGGCTGGAGGCGAGCCCGCCCTAGGCAGCCTTCCTCCACACCGAGGATTGAGTTCAGGGCCCTGGCAGCACACACGGTGCTTGCTTTGACCCCAGGCTGGGACGGCACGTCTGCCCGTCTGCCCTGCGAAAACCCTAAGCCTGCAGGGTTGCAAGACTCCTTTTTCTGCGTTGGTGTCTTCTCTGTCGCCAGGCCGGAGTGCGGTGGCACGCTCCCGGCCACCGCAGCCACGACCTTCAGGGCTCAGGCGATCCTTCCACCTCAGCCTTCCAAGTAGTCGGAACCACAGGCGCACACCACCACGTCTGGATAATTTTTTGATTTATTGTAGAGACGGGGTCTTGCCAAGTTGCCCAGGCTGGTCTCGAACCCCCAGGCTCAGGCAATTCTCTTGCCTCGGCCACCCAAAGTGATGGGATGACAGGCCTGAGCCACCATGCCTGGCGGTTGCAAGAATCTTGTCTGCATCTGAACCACTAGGGTGAGGGATAGACCCTGGCGCCTGGTGCAGTCTCGGAATGAGTGAGAGAATGGTGAGGGGGTCATGTTCCCAAACCCACGACACGAACGGTGACTCAGCACGCAGCTCATAATCGCTCGGGTGACACTGAGGCAGGGCGGCTTGTACGGGTTGGACACAGGTAGATACATTCCCCGTGGGCAGGTTTACGGAAGTGTTGAGACATTTAAAAAATTACAACCTACCTCACACCCTCGGCAAATCAAAAGAAAATCCCAGCCGGGCTCAGTGGCTCAGCCTGTAATCCCAGCACTTTGGGAGGCCGAGGTGAGTGGATTGCCTGAGCCCGCAGGTTCGAGACCTGCCTGGGCAACTTGGTGAGACCCTGTCTCTACAACAAATCAAAAATCAGCCGGGCGTGGTAGCACATGCCTGTAGTTCCAGCTACTCGGAAGGCGGAGGCGGAAGGATCGCTGGAGCCCGGCAGGTCGAGGCTGCGGTGGCCGGGAGCGGCTGCCGCACTGCAGTTTGGGCGACAGAGTGAGACTCCAGCTCAAAAAACAAAAAACAAAAAACAAAAAAACAAAAAGAAAGAGAGATGTCTGTCTCCGGCGTGGTGGTTACTTTTGTCCCACCCTCTCTTGCATGTCAGTTGTTGGGAAAATATATCTAATTTCTTAGTAAACAGCAAAAATGCTGTATTTCCATTTATAACGAAAGACTTGCCCACGCAAGGCCTTTCTGGTACGAAACTTTGGCCTGTCTTTTTTCCCCTCTCTTCTTTCTCTAATAAACTTTGCTTTAACACTTTGCTGGCCGCTCTAAAATTCATTTTAGGGACAAGTCAAAGAACCCGTGGGTGTGCGCTGCACTACACCCGGCATCAACACGACTCATCTCCCTGGTCCCATACGTGGCTTCTCCCCAAAACACCACTTGCTGTGGGAAACAGAGGCAAAGGAGCCAAGTGCCGGTTGTGAAGGGGGCAAAACCCTAGAAACCGAGGTTGCCGACTCTTAGCTCCAGAAGAGACCTTCCGGGTCACCCTGTTCAGATGGAGGTCACCCGGCGTCCGTGGCGGAAGCCGTGTCTCATCCATGCCAGCCTCCCTTCTTCCCTCCCTCCCTCTTCCCCTCCCCGTCCCCCCTTCTCTTTTTTGGAAAAAGGATTTGTTTTCTGGCTCCCTCCCCTCCCCTCCTTTGGAAAAAGGAGTTGTCTTCAGTCACTTATAATAGTATCTGTGAACAGTATATGACCACCTTTTTTTACGGTCCATATGACAGACGTTTAATTTTAAGGTAAGAGTGACGAGCCTCAGAAACTCCTACTTGGGTCCCAATTCTGTAGTGCCTGCAGCTCTAATTCCCAGACTCTTTTTAAACAACTCATTGTGAGTTGGGGTCTCACTCTGTCGCCCAGGCCAGAGTGCAGTGGCACCATCATGACAATCACAGCTCACCGCAGCCTTGACCTCCTGGGCTCAGGTGATCCTTCCACCTCAGCCTCCCGAGTAGCTGGGTCTACAGACACGCGCCACCACATCCTGCTATTTTTTTTTCTTTTGTAGAGATGAGATCTCACCATATTGCCCAGGCTGGTCTCGAACTCCGGGGCTCAAGCGATCCGCTCGCCTTGCCCTCCCAAAGTGCTGGGATGACAGGCGTGAGCCACCGTGCCCGGCCTAACTTTAACCCAAACGTCTCCAGCCGCTTCTTTTGTTCCAGAAAGAGCAGCAGCTCAGCTGAGAGGGAGACGGGGAAACGCCTCACCTTGTGCAGTCGGGTCTTCGGCTCGTAGTAGGCGATCACCGGGATGGACACGCGGTAGTAGGCCTCCAGGCGCTTGGCGATGGCCTTAGGGGTGTCGTCCGCACCTGGGCCGCTCTGGCTTCTCCGGAGCAGGCGGTTGGTCATGGTGTCTGCCGAGCAGTCCATGCAGATCACCAGGTGGGGGCCTCCAATCTGGGGGGACAACACAGAAACGTCACGGCGCCGATGCTCCGGAAAGGCCCAGGGCCCCGGTTCTTTGCTGGCTCGGCCTGGCTCCTCTCCAGGTCCCAGAAGGACACGGGGCCCGGTTGGGATGGGCGCTCTGGCTCCCCTTTCCAGGTCAGTCCCTCTCCGTGCTGCCCCAGGGCTGTCTCTTGCCCTCAACTCCGGGCCACCGCATGTCCCGCAATGCAAGAATTGGATGCCACCCACTGTGAAAGGCCAAGAGGAGTCAACATAGCCAAAGAGCAGCCATTTTGACACCGCCTAGTTCTGTCATATTTTAACACGACCCAGCTTGCCTTCTAATCAGGGACAGAACTGGTTTCTCAGAGGTAGCTATCGATAATTGTTTTGCAGCCCCTCTCCAGCTTTTGTATGAATTGGCTTTTCTCTTTTTTTTTTTTTTTTT